GGGGAGATGCGGAGGGGTTTGGGGGGTATTTTGAACCCCGCGAGGCCTTTGGTGCCATTTGGGGGGGATTTTGGACCCTGAGAGGTCTTTGGCTCCATTTTGGGGGGGATTTTGAATCCCAAGAGACCTTGGGCACCATTTTGGGTTCAAAAAAGGGGGGTGAAGGCTGGGGGGAAGCCCCCTCCCACCCCTCACCGCCTCCCCCTCTCCCGCAGCACCTACTCGAGCGGTCGTGGTACGCCGTGACGGAGACCTGCCTGGCCTTCACCGTCTTCAGGGACGACTTCAGCCCTCGCTTCGTCGCCCTCTTCACCCTCCTCCTCTTCCTCAAGTGCTTCCACTGGTTGGCCGAAGACCGGGTGGACTTCGTGAGTGCCGGGTGGCGAGAAAATGGGCGTAAAAAAGCTTTTTTTTTGGGAAAACCTCAACTCTTTTTCCACCTCTTTTGCAGATGGAAAGGAGCCCCAACATCTCCTGGCTCTTCCACTTCCGTATCGTCTGTGAGTATCTTGCTTTTCTCCACCCTGGGTCGGATCCTGCCCGGCCACGGGTGCTTTGCCGGTGTTTGGCACGTTGCCGGCAGCTGGTCAGGAAAGATAATTTTGGCAACGCTTTTGCATACAACCGGGGAAGAACCCGGTGCAGCCGAGCGTGAGATCGTCGGCGCTCGATAAACTTTATCCAGGGTAGTCTTGTTAACGAGGGAACATTAATGGGGCTGCAGGGGGAGCGGGATGGGGTTGCTGGGGGTTTAACGAGCCCCGGCTTGGAAAATACGAGGTCGGATCTACGGCAAAATATATTCCTGCTTCCGGTGAAGTGGGTTTAGGGGTGTAAAAATCATCTTTTGAAGGAATTGGGGTTTTTTTGGTGAGACATGGAGTCAGAAGACATGGTTCAAAGCAGAGGGGGCTTCAAACAAGACAGCCTCGTTACCGAGACGCATTAATTCAGCCCTTCATTAGCGCAGAGCCGTTTAACCCCCCCAGGACCGATGCTCCTCAAGGTTCCCACTCTGGTGGGATACGTTTCGGGGTGCGACCCTTGGAGCTTTAGTTTTTGGGGGTCTCCCCCCACCTCAAGGCTCATTATCTCCTTTCCTCGTTATCCCCTCATCCTGATTTCTTTCCCCAGCCCTGATGTTCCTCCTGGGAATCCTGGATTTCCTCTTCGTTAACCACGCGTACCACAGCATTCTCACGCGAGGAGCCTCCGTCCAGCTCGTCTTCGGCTTCGAGGTAGGAGATGGCTTCCTCTTGGAGAGGGACAAACCTCCGCGTCCGTCCCCGGGACGGACAAACGGCTCCTCGGCCGCGTCCTCACGCCCTACCGCGCTCTTCCTCCCCACAGTACGCCATCCTCATGACCATGGTGCTCACCATCTTCATCAAGTACGTCCTGCACTCCATCGACCTGCAGAACGAGAACCCTTGGGACAGCAAAGCCGTCTACATGCTGTACACGGAGCTCTTCACGGGTACGTTGTTCTCTTTCCCCCTTTTTTTCTTCTCATCCCACCCAATTTTGGGGTTTGGGGGGGGGGCTTTCCCATCTGGGCGTGGCCCGATAAAGCTTGATAAATCGTTACGAAGCTCAATTAGCCATCGATCAATGAAGACATGAAGCCTAGGTGGTGCTCAGCAGCACCCGAAGGTGTGATCCATCATCGTTAATGATCTGGATGACAGGGCAGCGTTCCCTCGGCCGCTTTGCCGGTGACACGAAACCAGGAGGAGTTGGCTGATGCACCACAGGGTCACGCCACCATCCAGAGGGACCTTTTCCAGCTGGAGAAATGGTCCAAGAAGAACCTCACGAGGTTCAAAGAAGGGATGGGCCAAGTCCAACAACCCCCGGCACGAGTCTACGCTGGGCAATGGTTCAACTGGGGGTTCTGGTGGACATCAGGTTGAGCACAAGCCAACAACGAAGGCCAACGGTGTCCTGGGAGGGTTGCCAGCAGGTTGAGGGAGGTGATGAGGGGTGGTGAGGCCACACCTGGAGACCTGAGTCCGCTTCTGGGCTCCCCAGTCCAAGAAAGACTGGGACATACTGGAGAACGTCCAATGAAGGGCCACCAAGACGGTGGAGAGGCTGAGAGAGCTGAGACTGGTTGCTCAGAGAGGTGGTGGCATCTTCATCCTTGGAGATACTCAAAAGCCGTTGGGTCACAGTCTTGGACAAGCAGCTCTTCGTGACCTGCTTGAGCAGGTGGTTGGACCAGATGACCTTGGAGGACCCATCCCCCCTCAACCAACCTGTGGTTGTCCCAGAACACGGGACCAGATGACCTTGGAGGACCCATCCCCCCTCAACCAACCTGTGGTTGACCAAGAGCATGGGACCAGATGACCTTGGAGGTCCCACCTGACCTCAACCAACCTGTGGTTGACCACGAACAAGACCCTGATGTGCTTTCTTCCCCCCAGGTTTCATCAAAGTCCTCCTCTACATGGCCTTCATGACCATCATGATCAAAGTCCACACCTTCCCTCTCTTCGCCATCCGCCCCATGTACCTGGCGATGAGGTGAGTTGACTTTGGCGCGGCCTCCGGCGCGGCTGCCGGCACGTCCTTCGGCTTGATCCCACCGGTTCCTTGACTTCTTCCAGGCAGTTTAAGAAAGCGGTGACGGACGCCATCATGTCCCGCCGGGCCATCCGCAACATGAACACGCTGTGAGTAACGCGGAGAACGCGGCTCCTGCCCCTTCCCGGGCGCTTTGAATTCCGTTGGCATCTCCTCGGTGGTTGCTTCTGAGGTGGGATCCACCTCAAAAAAACCTCAAATTTGAGGAAAATCCCTCATTTGCCGCATGGGAAAGAGGTCGGAAGGATCCTGTAGGGTGCCGGGGTCGTGGATATCTCAAACTCCTCCTGTCAAATACCTTAATTTAACCAAAAATCTGGTGGATATCGGCGAGGAGGAAGGGTCGGCTGGCGGTGGGGAGGACCCAGAACTCCCACGTTCCCCCTCCAACCCCCCTAAAATGGCGGGAAGGGGGTTGGTTTTTTTTTTTTCTCCGGCGTTTTCCACCGAATTTTCCTCCCCGCGCAGCTACCCCGACGCCACGCCGGAAGAGCTGCAGGCCATGGACAACGTCTGCATCATTTGCCGCGAGGAGATGGTGACGGGCGCCAAGCGCTTGCCTTGTAACCACATCTTCCACACCAGGTGGGCGAGGAAGGGGGATGGCACG